CACCAACAAACGCAGGAGCAGCAGCTACCCCACTCCTCTACACTGCTCCTCAGGAATTACCTGATGAGACTATTGCTTGGAATTAAGTGATTAATTTCTGTTCATTTACTCTTGATTTCCTGCCAAAGGCATCTRTAGGGAGAGATGAATGTTGCTGCTACTGACTGAATCAAAACCACAATACACAACAATCCATCAGACAAATTAAGGGCTGTGTTCTGTTATCACCACAAGCCTTCATCTGAAAAGCAACACAAAGGAGAATTACAAGTTCTGAAACAAACCCATTAATCAGAATTATGAAAACCTGAGAGATTTTATCAGATGTACTTCTATCAGAGCAAAACAAAAGGGCAGGATTTTCTGATAGTACCAAGGTGGGAAATACTAATTGCTAATACTATATAGATTCATTAGAAGCTTAACAACAGGTTTACTAGACTTCAAAATAAATAGAAAAAACCCCACATTTCCCTCACAGAACACAATAATGTATAACACAGTAGAACTCTAAACTGAACGAATTTTTTTTCCCCTTAGGGCTACCTCCCTTCTGAATGAAATTGCTTGCAATGCTCTCACTAAATTATTCCTAGTACCTGGCTCCTAGCACAATGTAAAGTGTAAATGCATGTTTTGAGCATTGGCTTTTGAAATCATTTCCACCTCCCTTCTACCTACAAGTAGAAAGTCTTTGCAGTTATGGGGTTCAGAGATTTTTCTCACATCCAGATCTACAARGCTCATAACAGAAGGAAGAAGACAGGATCTTAAAATACTTTGTTAAAATGGGGTATTAGTCTTAACTGGGATTATTTCATCAAAACATTTAGAGTAAGTAAAACTTTGATTCTTGTCTCTTCAGCCATGTCCAGCAATGCATTAAGGCAACTCCAGAACAAGCTGTGCAGTTTCACAACCACTATTGTTCTGCACATCGCTATTTGCAACATCCACTTATGTTGTTACAGGATATTACCAAAAAAAAAGTACTGGAAGATAGACAAATGGCAAGCAGTCAATAGAACAGATCTGGGTCATCAGTCTTTGGGGCAGGGGGAAAGGAAAACACCTGTCAAGGTTTTGTCCTCAGTCACCTGCACAAGATACTACCCATTACCACTGCTGGTATTCTTGAGAAGATGGCAGCTATGCACTGCAGGAAGTACATACTCAGGAGTCTTACAAAAATTTGAAGCCAAATTGTTAGCTTTCAGTGATGGGCAATACATGTGTAAGTGAAAGAATTTTACATTATAGGCAAGAAAGATAATGGGGCAAATTTGTGTTTTGTACTTGTCACCTACTCAATGAAATCATGAACACTTGAACACATGAACACATGAAATCTCTCAATGAGATCTCTATCATGAACACTTTCAACACTGAAAAATGAGGTGAAGTGCACCCCTACTGTTCCATGGTTTTATTTTTAGGTCTTACTTCTTCAGTTAAAGGTTGGCTTGTAACATCATTAAGAGTGCAAAGGCAAAGAGTAAACATGAAGTTTTCCCGTTTATCTCTACCACTCCGCCATTCTACCCACAAGCTGCCATCTTATCCAAGGAAGAGGTTCTCCTACAAGTAGCAAACACCCTAATTTGYAATGCCTTGCTCCACTTCACTTTGCTTCTTCAAGGCAAAGAAACCTTGAACCATCCCAGAGAAATGTAAGACTAAGGCATGAAATAACTGGAGACTTAGCCAACCCAACTCTCCTCACCCATCCTCTGTGCTGCAATTACTGTCCACAGTAATTTCTGCCTAGAGACTTTGCCAAATTTATCATGGTTTTGTCTTTTGTGCTCCTCCTTCATCMCTTGCCACTATTGGGATTAAGGAAGTAAAAACCTTTGAGGTTACAAATTATCTCTGAGCCAACCAGCCAGGATGATGRAGGAATAATGGGACCTACACATTTTGTCCCTCACAAACACGCACTCCACAGACTGAGCTCATGAATTCCACTTTCCTTGGCTCAAGGCCTGGAAACTTGAGTCTTTACCAAGTGCCAGACCTCCCACTGAGGGCAAAATTAACCTCAGTTTACAGGTCAGAGCACTCTGACATCCTTGTATTTTGCAAAATATTGCTTTAAGAATATGAGAATGAGGCTGTCTGAGTAGAGGCATCTGAGACCATTTGGTAGGTCAGATTTTTAAAATCTGAAAGGTTGTTTGGTTTAGGCTTTTTTTTTTAAACAACTCTGATGGGGATTATGCAATCCAACAGCCATCCCTCTTCCACTTACCATTGCAACCTCCTGCTAACCACAGACAACCTTCAACGCAGTATTTCACCGCAGTTTATAATTAACAAATTCAGTTACATGTTCCTCATGACAAAGGAAACTGCTGTAAGATTTTAATACTGAAGTGGTCTTAAGGATTTATAAAGCTCTCTGCTACATCCTGCCTCTACAGGAAATGCTACAATTGTAGTTTAATGCAATAATCAATGGAATAAATATCCTTGGCTTTATATGTCTCGCTAGCACATCTCATATGACTTTTAAGACTCAATCACTTTTAGGTTCACATCATCTCTTCATGGTTTCCACACCTTCCTGTTGCTTTGTGCTACTTCTTCACCCTTCTCCCCATCATTTCTCTTRTGCTTTTAGCTGCCACTTCCAGCGAGACTCTTCAGCCAACTGGMAGCAACCAAGAGCATTTTTAGAGTTTAACTGTGCAAATTGAATGTCAGCTAGTTAATATTTAGTAAAAAAACCAGCTTGTATTGGAAAGAAAAATCCTACATCCTTTAAACTGTTATAAACTAAAAGAGAACAAACCCAGCACAACTACTTCCATAAAAGAAAAGAGAGTTATCCTTGATTCAAACTCTAAAAAAAGGTAAACAATGTAAMCCTCTGCTTCCCCATTGTCATTCCATTTTTTCTTTACTAATTGCTTCAGAAGAGCAGTTCTCATTGTGTGGTCAGRCAGAGAAAAACATAATTAAAGTTACACAGAGATTATCTAACTTGTTAGCATCCCTAGCCAAAAAGGGCAGGATGTACACTGCGTTTTTGAGAATGAGCTTAAAAGGACACMGATTGGTTTAATGTTTGCCCTAATTTACAACAGCTACAATGAAAAAAAAAATTACTCTTTTTCTTCCATTAAAAAATGTTATCTTCTATGGAAAAACTCCCCTGTATATAGACACCAGCTTACCTCGAAACTAGCCAGACGCATTCTTACATGCTTGCCTGGCCATGAGACATATAAACTATATACTGAAAAAAATCTACAGGGGTTTTCAAAGATTATCTAACAATACAGGATCCATGTCAAAGGATGGCCAATTTACAAATCCAACTGTGACCTTGACTTCAAGAAAAAAAATTTGCACAGAACAAAGAGGTCACTTCAGTGCGTTAATATCCACTCTTTCCAAACCCTGCAACTTTTATTAATGCCTTATTTTATTAATCTATATTTTTCTGAAGAATTYGCAACCAGTGAATGGGGAATGAGATCTATCTGACCCTGTAAGACAGGACATACTACAGAAACAGCAAATAGCAGCAAGGGACTGATGCRGCAACCCAGCCTGTCCAACAGGTTTTAGGGAACACAGTTTGTTCAGGAACTAGAGCAAGAAGCACCATGATCCTGGGCCTCTCCAGAGAACAACCAGAGGGGAGGAGAACTTTTCTCCTGCACTGATCAAAGCAGTGGTGGTGCTGAGCTGCAGTCTGAAAAAAGCACAGTCAGATGTGTGATACCACGATAAGAGTCTGCAATAAAAACCAGTCGACCAAGCCACAGACCAAACCAGAGCGCTCATGAGAACACAACCATTATTAATATTAATGACTGTATTTTGGTGGTGTAAATACAGTTTTAACTTCACCTAAATAGGTATCACATCCCCTACTCATATCCTGATCAGCAACCGCATATATAATATAGTTTCAAATCATTATTCTACTGAATAATAGCTACGGGCAGACTGCTGGAGACATCTCCAGTATGGAAGTGGAATTCAGTCAGCAGCTTTTTTTGGTGTCTGTGACCTTCTACATGGAGATGAAACGTTTCATGTGTCACCAATAAATAGACTGAGTACAACTCAAATTAGTTTTAAAATCTTAAAAGAATAAAAGCTGTCTCTCTGCTAGACTTATTGGTTATCTCAGATCACTAGTTTCTGCTCGAATTTGAAATAAATACTCCGGGCTATACTGAAAGTCTGAGTAATCATCACTTGCAGATCCATTGCCCACAAAGAAGTCCATGTTCTACCCACCTATGAAAAACTGGACTGGTTACCACAAGCATACATTCACATCTAACTCCAAACCTATGCCGTGCTGACCCACATGTAGTCAAATTTCAACATAACAGCTAAAAATGTTTTTGGAAAACTAGTATCTATATTTATGACAGTCAGAAAAGGTTTTGTAATCCACAGTGTTGACCACAGCCAGGATGTTAACTTTTCTTCTCTCAAGAAGAAAATGGTGCCCTTGGCACCAGTTTTCTAAAAAAATATTTTCTACAAATATTAMAGGACTGTAAAGAATGCTCCATATTTGGTCTAATTGAAATTGAGTGCTTTACATAACCTTATTTATATCACAGGAAAACCCAAAAAAACTAGGGAAAAAAAAATCACATAAGCAAAATCACTAAGCCAAACTAGGAAAGGTAATTTAAAAATGAGAAAATCTTACTTGCAGAGTAAAATTATTGAACTGCTGAGATATAAAAAGGACCTACATTCAAGCCTTTATTTAAGCCATAATATGAAAGGAAATAAGCTCTTAAACTTGTAACTTTAAAGTTATATTTTGTTGCAGTTGAGTTCTCCCCTCCTCATTCATTTAGGGTAGTAGCTACTGGAGTTTTGCACAAAGTTGAGCCAGGGACACTCCAATCACCCTTAGAAATGACAGACATTTGTCATACAGTCAGCAGAACTGGGTCAGCATAGTTCCATGCACACATACACAAACATTAATATATTTAATAATAAATTATAAAACTTACTTTTCTGTATCTGAAGAYTGTTTCCAGCCTCCTTGGAGATCTCGTGAGATATCTTTCCCAATATTATTTAAGATGGCATCATTTTTATTAACAGAATCCTCTTTTTTCCTAGCTGTAGACTCTTCAGTTTTTGGATGCTTTGGCTGCATGTCCTTTGGAAGGGTATTTGTGCTCTGTAAATCCTTTTCACATCTGTTGGGTTCATCTTTGAAGGTAGAAGGTTTAGATTCAACCAAAGAAGATTTTGTTGCAATATTAAATAAGCTTCCAAGGAAATGAAAAAAGCCTTCTCGGGGTTGCTTGTCTTTATCTGCTGTTTTGATTCCAGGAGTCAAACTAGGAAGGCTATTGGCCTTTTTCAGTTCCTCCTGKATTTCAGACTTGCTAAGTTCTTCTGTGGAATGATTCTTCTCTTCATTTTGACAAGCCTAAGAGATAAATACAAGACACACACAAAGATGATGTTTCCTGTCATTTTCACACATTTCCAAATTCCTTGAATTTAATTTGTATTCTTTTCAGGAGATCTGTCGTTCAAAAAGATCAAAGCCCATTGTGTGCTGTCTTCTCTTTTTGTACTAAAGAGGTCCCTATTCCACAAAAATAAAAAGGACTACAGAGGCTAGAAAACTCCCAAAGCAGCTGCAGTGGAAAAAAATACAGGACAGATGGCAACAATTACTTCAGCTGGCAGAAAAAACATGGGGAAGAAGCAAGGAACAGTATTTCACACTTAAGGCTAATCCCCTCAGAAAGCACAGCTTCACAAACAGACCTCCATGTGCTTGGGAGGACAGTTTTCAGCTTGCAAATTCAGGCAAGAACACCACAGCCAAACACATCCCAGCCTTCTGTACCTCTGAAAAACCGAGGAGAATCAAGAATGGAATCGGGATAAACAAACTCAACTCACATCCCAGAGATGAGCCCTACCTGCTATTCTTAGCAATCCGATGTTGCACCCTTTGGCCAACTCTCCTTCAACTGCACAGCTGTTTCCAAAAGGATTTGCTGTCTCCCACAGCTCCACAGTCTCCTATGCTCAAACTGCCCAGTGTTCCACAYAGCCAAAGTCCTACAGAGCACCACCCCTGCATCTCTGACCTCCTGAACTCTCAGGAGGGGTCCTATCAGCCCTATCAGTGAAATGAAATGAATGAGAACCAAGGCAGGGCTTCACCTCATTCAAACCACATGTTCATTTCTTCCCTCAACTCAGCTGAGCACCTGCCCAGAGGCAAGGCAAGCTCAATCCCTCACCAATTTATGCCCTAGAATTTCCTCCGTGTCAGCTCCTCTCAAAGACCCAAGGACTGCYGTCCAAGATCATGTTACTTCTGTCAAGACCATCTGCCCAAAAGGATGATGCAACTTCACTGGAAGGCTTCACAAACAACACATGTAACCACATTTTCAGCTTCACAATCTGCAATAGTTTTTTTCCCCTGGACTAAAGTTTTCTGGGAAGCAACTCCCCCCCATCCCGACCCTTTGTAGTGGGTGCCATAGGCTATCGCTGCCTATTTTATCTTTGCAGCACAACCTCTGTAATTTCAATTCCTGGTTCAAGACAGTTTATTAAAACAGATTAAAGTTGCCCCAGCTTTTCTTAGATCAAATCTATCCTGCTCAACAGGAGTAGGAAAAAACATGAACAAAAGGACTTATGCAAATTTTAGCTGTGTCAACAATACATTTGGATAAGAGTAATTATTTTAAATTGGGCAACACCTACTCATTCAATCTACATAGAAAGCTACCATTTCCACTAGGTGACAAATCCTACTTCCACTTGAAGTAACCTCTAAGCAGCCAGTAGTCTTATTTGATAATAGGCCATCTAGGATCATGTTAATGATGAAAAAAGTATGTTAATGAATGCAGCTTCATCCTTGGAGACCAGCAATTTCTGAAGAATTTTCAAGATATATTTAGTGATACTGGAGCAGTAGTCTTTAAACTTCAAGCAATACTTTTAAACCTTTTAAATCCAGAGCAGATCCAATTGCTTAATATTAATAAGAAGCATGTGTTGAAAATGGCATTGTTTATGTGAGGACAGAAACTGAACAGCACTAATTTGTCCTTGAGAAATCCACAGAACCTCTATTTTCTTCCTACATACAAGACACCTGAGCAATCACAGGGAACTTCAAAAAGCTAAGCAAAACTCTGATATTTTTTCATCCCACCTGTGACAAACCCCACCTACTTCCCCACATACTGCACTACTCAGCAGCTGGTGCATCACAAAGGGGTGCAGTCACCCCTGTGGTATCAGAGATTTACCACTTCACAAGTCAACTCTACCCAAACCCAGCCCTGGAAATTAAGTTGCCAACAGTGCAGCTTACAGATGTGCCACAGCTCTGATTGCTCAGAGTACTGCACAAGTAACACAGGAGCCTGGACTGAATCTCTTGAGTAATTAACTTTATCTCACAGGAACTCAGTACTTTGCATAAGGAAATACAAAACAAACAAGAAAAAAATTATTTTCCCAAATTTGATTAGTGAATGATTCACCATGYTCTGCTGTCATAGTTTCTTCCTTTACTTTTGGCTAATACCTCAGCATTCTTCAATATCAGCTTTTTATTCAGCTTTAAGTGATGGAGGGCATTTCTCCCTTGCTTTGTGACTTGTACCATTCACACAGATTTGTCGGATATAAAAAAGTATCTCAGCAGAGGAAATGCACACAAATCTTATTATTTTCTCTGCACATATAACCCTTTTAAGCTGTAAATATTTACATTAACAATTACAATATCTATGAAGTTAGCAACTAAAAGAACTAAAAATGGTTACATTAAAAACTTGACAACAGTTTAGCACTATGGGTGGTTTTGTTTGTTGGTTTTTGTTTTTTTTTTTTTGTTTGGTGAGGTTTTGCCCATTTTTTAAACCATTTGTATTCAGTAATTAGTCGAGGTTTTTTTTCTATTAGCAACTGAGACTTCAAATATAGTTAAATCTCTACATGTGAGAGTCTTCTCGGAGCAGCTCTGAGACATAACATTTGTAAAGATTGTGCTGCTTATTTGTGARCATAATTTATGCCCTGCTTGAAAAGCTGTTTTGTAGTCTCTGCTTCCAGAAACAGAAATCTATTTAGACTTTCCTTCCTCTTTAATCTTCCTTTCTTTACTTAACTTTTGGTAAATCAAAAGAACAGGAAGTTTTAATATGAAAGGRTCCTTCCATACCTTTAACCATAAATAGCGTCTTGAATGAAAAAAAAAGCCTCCAAGAACATTTACACTGTGTTTATTTGAAGATATATGTGGATATTAAATCCTAACACAGAAATTATGCAAATCCTTCTTTCTTCTCTTCAATACAATCAATCCCACTCTCCATATATTCTCCCTCCTGCTCCACTTTGCCATACAGACAGCTTGAGCTATTGCTATTTTATCATTTGCACACAAAATCTCAATTCCAAGTCTCAGCCACTGCTTAGGCATTATACAAACAGCACTGCTCCTGCTGCAGATTTTCAAGKTCGCATTTTAAGATGATGCCATATTCAAACTACTGAGACGAAAGCACATGATTTTACTTACTCCAAAGCCAGTAAGCCTCTAGCACAGCAGGAGCCTTCAGGCACAAGTGCCTGATAAACATGCAGTATGGTGGCAATTCCAGGAGCCAGTATCACAGAAACTTTCATTCTTCATTCCCCATGCCGTCTCCCAGTCTGTCTCTGACAGAAGCCCCCAGCAAACACTCAGGGGGAAAAAAAAAGGCAAGGGCATAGTATAAAGTAATGTTTCCCTGGTATGTCCCACCAGTTTTCAGCAGTCAGGGCCTTTGGCTGACCTTGACAGAGCATCTGATTCTGTGTCACAATTAAGCTTGAGTACTTTGATACTCACAGCACTGAAGGAATAGCAGTGACTTGTTTTAGCTACACTCCATGTCATCAGTCAAAGAAAAATAAGTTTAAAAGGTCCTCTTACAGCATCCCAAGCAGTCTCAATAGCTTCTCAGGCTTACCAAGCAAACAGCAGYTTCTGGATGGAAACCTACCAGCCAGATGCTCTTTGAGATTCTTGCTGATGCAAGAAAAAAAATTTTCCTGGTGTAGTGCTGTCTTTCTGCTCCTCTTTTAATAAACTGTCTTYCCTTGGCCTCCCCTTTCCAAATCTCTGTGAGCTTCCCTGCTTGTGACATGCTTCATGAAGCTTTAATTAGCTTTTATTCCTTTGGCAACGCGTTCCTCCAAGTTTCACTGGGCAAGCCCTGGGTAACCTGGCCTGACCTTGTAGCTGAACTGAGGGAGGGCTGATGGCAGCCTGGGGTCCCTTCAGCTTGGATCATCCCAGGGGCCCGTCCCTGACACGCAGCGAGGCCGATGCGGAGGGGAAGCCTGGCAGAGCCAAACAGGATCAGCACTTCACTGAGGAGACTGCGGGGATGGGTGAAGCTGTGTCTGGGGACTGTGCTCCCACCGCACTGCACAGGGGAAGCCTGGCAGCTACGACTCAGCAGACAAAGCCCCGATCCCGTGTCTCAGGCAGGGTTCTTATCTCAGCTCGTTTATCCAGCCGCAGCCGAGGTGTGTTTCCAGGCCGTAATCCASTGCCGGCTGCAGCACAGACACCGCCCTCGGCCTCAGGGCACCTGGGCAGGCCAGGGCTGCCAGCGGCGTGAACAACGGCCCGAGGCGGCACAGCAGCGCCCTGAGGAGGGATCAGGGCTTTGCCAGGTCTGCCTGGCCTCCTGCACTAAGCAGGGAGGAGCCACCCTCATCACCATCCCTGGGAGCACCATTTCACAGCAGCTGGATGGCTGAAAGTTTAATTGCCACAGGTTCTCAGTCAGCAAGGGCTACGTCCGTCTGCCGAGAGCACCATCTCTTTTATTGCCCTAACGAGTGAAGTGAAACCACTAACAGCATTAAAGCACAGATCTCCGTGAACAAAGCATTAGCTTACAGCCACTACTGCCAGACATTTCGGATTTCCCTGCCCATGAATGAATGCTCATTCTGAAGCAGAAACTCCAGAGAGCRTCGCAGGGACCTCTCAGGCCGCCTGTCCGGCTGCACTGGGAGCTGCTGCCGGAGAACACTGTGCCTCCTGCACAGATACGCTCAAACCACCTCATCTCTCCACGTGTGAGAGAAGATAGCCTGCCAGCAGAATTTCGGCATCATCACTAATTCATCCCAAGTCATTTAACCCCAGCATCCCAGTTTACCCATCTGAGAAAAGCACTACTGTTGAATTTGTTTGCTGGCACTTAGAAATCATTTAGCAGTTTCRGGTTTAAATGCTGGGTAACTAGTACAGGAAAATTAGTCTTGTACCTAGCCTTAACTTTGACCTTTCAACACAACTGAGATGGGTACATTTCATTTCACAATTATGAGCATCTCATCCAATTTGAAYGCTGATAGAGTATATAAATTTTGTGTGCT